TGTAAATGTGTGTATATATAGATATGTGTGCATATGTACTTTCAATGACTTTATTCCTCTAGGGAGACCAGCCAAAGACAGCCAGACTAGTAGTTGAGAAGCATTTTGCTGACTATGAAGATTGGCAGCAGGAATGCACTGGATAAGGTGGCATTTGCCCATTCATTTTGGAAGTTTCTGTGTTTTTAAAAACAAACATGGCTTAAAATTGTAACTTCCATTAGGTGATCTAAATCATAATTTTCACTCTAATGTTTCCTTAACCTACTTCTCCAAGTGTTAATATTTGTTCTATATTTTTAGATGGATACCCCAAAGAAGAAATGGTTTACAGATGGAGAAAAAATTCAGTTGAGGCAGTTGACCAGGATTCATGGCGCCTGTATCAGTTTGATTTTATGGGTCTCAGAAACACCACAGAAACTGTGACCACACCTACAGGTAGGAGTCAATTTCAAGTAGTATGCCTCTCAAAACAAGATCCACCCATCCACATGCATAATGCTAATTGTGGAGATCCATTGCTCACTAATGGATACGTTTTTGACTATATATGTTATTATAACCATGAATGATATCAAGGTGAAGTTTAAAACAACTGATTTCAAAGTGAAATAAATTTATTTTAATGTTTTACTTGGTGTCTGAGGGGGTGAATGGCCCTGGTAACATAGTGGGTTATGAGTTGGGCTGCTAGCCATTAAGGTCAGCAGTTCAAGTCTGCCAGCTGCTCCAGGGGAGAAACATGAGGCTTTCTTCTCCCACAAAGATTGACAGCCTCACAAATCCTATATAAGGGCACTACGAGTTGGGACCACAACCACCAGCAGCAGATTTTTTAATTGAGCATGTTTTGGCATTTTGCCAATAAACCAAACTACCTACCACCAACTAATTATTTGTATAAACCTGTTATACTGCTGATCAAAGTTCTGTAAATTTTCACATACATAATAAAAATGGAAGATTACTGAAAATCCACAAATAATAGATGCTGGTTTGAAATGTTCTTTGAGTTTTAATTTCTAGCTTCTTCTATATTACCTTCAAGGAGCTCTGGTAGTATAGTGGTTATGAATCAAGCTGCTAATCTCAAGGTCAGCAGTTCAAAACTACCAGCAGTTCCGCGGGAGAAAGATGAGGCTTTCTGTTCCTGTAAAGATTTACACCCTCGGAAACCCTATGCAGGGTTGCTATGGATCGGAATTGACTCAACGGTGCTTAACAACAACATATTATCTTCAAACTTTATCATAAAATTTGAGGATTTACTTTTTTCCAATAGTTTTGGCATTATAATTACTCACCAATTTGATTAAATGGCCATGTTGTAAAGCATATGCATATGGAGCCCTGGTGTGGTACTGCAGGGTAAGCACTGGACTGACAAGTTAGTGTAAACTGCAAGGTTGGCAGTTCAAACTCACCAGCCACTCCTCAGAATTTTATACAGGGTCTCTGAATCAGAACTGACTCAACAGCACTTAGCAACTTAACGACAATAAAGCATGGATAAAGAGACATTTATCTGTTGATGCCTTGAATATGTTTTTTCTTGTCTATTAGTTTTCTTTTCTTCCTGTTATTTATTCATTCATTTGGTCTGCTGTTTTTCAATTTACTTAGTTTGGGTAGGGTGTGAGATTCACATAGGAATTAGGGTCATGTTTTCTATTGCTCTTATAACTTGTTAACACGTATAGTTTACTAGCTATTGCAACAATAATTTATTTTATAAAGACTAGCATGAGGCTGGTCCCTATATAGTAGAGGTTAAAGACATAGTAGAAGATTAGAGTGAGCTATTAACAACTATTGTTGTTAAGTGTCATTGAATTAGTTCCAACTCATCAACCCTGTATAGGGTTTCCAAGAAGAGATTACTAGATTTGAGTGTTGACCTTGTAATTAGAAGTTCAGTGCTTATCCTACACTACTCCATAATTACTGGTATCTGCCTTGTATGACTCCTCCCCTCAGTATTCTCCCCCAAGAACCAGGCTTCTGTAATTTTCTGAAACATCTCATAGAATTCACGGGCCATATTGGACATGGAACCACTTGGTTATGGAAGCTGTCAAGTCCCAATCTGCAGTTCAAACACCAGTCTGGAGAATTCTCACTCACACAGAATCAAGCTGTTGATTCACAGGAGTGTGGATGCTGGCACATCAGGTCAGATTGCTCATTCAAATCCAAAGAACCAGAGGTCAGATGGAGACAAATTTGATTAGTCAAGCAAAGGAGCACAAAGACCTCTCATATCAACCAACATGGCTCATTTGATATTCATGATAGAGTTTAAAGTTTTTACAATCACAATGAACTCATTGAATATTCCCTGCTGGAATCATGCCATCTTATCAGCATCTTCTTCCAGCTTCTCTCACCTAGACCCATAAGCCAAAGAGTCATTTGCTGAGAGTTACAAAGACTAAGGCTAGAAAAGACATTAAATAATTACCCACACCCCAGTCCCCTTGACTCTTCTAGCCATTGTCCTTTTCTTACATGCAGGTTTAACTTGACTCTCCCAAGCTGAAGCATTCAATAACCCTATTGGTACATGAGTATTTACCTTTCCTGAAAACACAACTGTGAATGTGGTGAAGCATACGACAGACAAAATGATAAAAATGACTTAGATATTAACAAACATTTTAGCTGTACTTTGGGGCTCAGGACCATAGTCTCAGGGGACACCATGATCAGTTGGTATAACATAGTCCGTAAAGACAATGTTCTACATCCTACTTTATTATCTGGGTTATTTAGAGTTTATGAGTGCCTATCTAAGATGCAGCTATTGGTCTCTCCATGTGAAGAAGTAAGAATGAAGAGAATGAAGATGCTTGGAATCATTTAGCTCAACAGACCAATGGAACATGTGAACAGTCTCCATGGCTCTGAGGTCAGCACTAGATGGTGCCCAAACAACAATACCAATTTCTCATAAAGGGATCACATTAGAAGGTACCAGATAGAGCAGCAGAATTTCTGTGTGGGAACAAAATTCAGAATTACTTTTCAAGAATTAGTTCTAGGTTTACTGAGCAGAAGGAAACTGGAAGAACCTGAGATGATGGGCCTTGACCACCCTTTAGATCTGCAAATGAACTCAACAACGTTGCACCAAGTAGTTGTTGATAGGTATCATCGAGTCGATACTGGCTCATAGTGATCTTATTCACAGCATAAGTAGTAGATAGGTATATATAGTGGGAATAACAATACTAGTAAGGTATATTGTTGCTGTTAAGTGCCATCGAGTCAGTTCCGACTCATAGCGACCCTTTATAGGATTTCTGAGGAGCAGCTGGTGAGTTGGGACAGCCAACCTTGTGGTTCAAACTGACCTGTGGTCCAGTACATTATCCTACAGTGCCAGATGGATAGGGACAACATGTACCTAAGGGCAAAGATGAGAAGGGATGGGAAGGTGGGTGGAATAGAAATAGCAGCTTTAGGGAGGAAGGATAACTATTGTTCCATGAAAGGGATTGTAATCATTGAGATGAAACAAAGAATATTATTTGTTGAATGTAAAATGGATGATCTTATCTGTAAACCTTCACTCAATTCACAATAAATTTTTTAAAAATTCATTAATAGTAAGTCCTTCAGTATGGCACAGAGACCTAAGGGTGAAGCCACTCCGTTATCAGACATTGAGGTCTGAGGTAGATATCTGACTGATCAGGTCAGGTTCTTGAAAAGTTTGTTTACTTGAGACTTTATTCCCTTTCTCTGAGTCTCTCCCAAGGTACCAGCAGTATGTTAGATTTCCCCCCACTACATAACACATTTATTCATTCCCTCACTTCCATCTATTATTTATTCTTCCTTCCACTTGTCATTTATTTTTACTCAGACTTGTCCACCCACAATACTGTGGCTATCTCAGGTCTCAGACTGTCATTGGCACCGTCTCAATCAATACCCATAGCCTTTCCAATGGCATCTGTCATGTTTCAGTATGTGGAAACTTTCTAGTCCAGAATCCCAATGACTGTCACAGGCCAGCATCCGCAGAAACTTGCCATAATCTCAGTCTGAATACATATGCGTGTCAGAAATCTCCCACATTGTGTTTGATTATAAATGTGGATTATAAAGTCCTAAAGACATGGAGCATGATACTGCTTTCTGTAACTCAGACATAACCAGCAGTTGCTTGGGACTCCATTCGAACAGTTTTTTTCTGAGTGGTTTTAGGGAGGGGAGAAAGCAATATTCCCAGATGTGGAATAGGCATCCTCCAAAATAAATTAGAAAGTCAAACTGCGGGCCTACTCTTTAGTCTTGGGTGTATGTAATGGTAGCAGCTGATTTTTGGTTGCCTTTAAAATGTCATGTATGGTTTCAGCCCAAGTTTTTCCCAAGAATTTCTCCATTTAGGCAGGAAATTTTACTGGATTTATTAACCATCATTTGTTAGTCATGTGGCAATCATTGTTGCCAAATTTGTCCTAGCCTATTCTTCTGCATTTGTTATTAGCATAATAACATCAATGTGATGTTATCACTATACTTGAGGTTTACACTAAGTCCAAGTGTCTTCTAACCATTTGGTGAGTTCAAATAACTCTTTGTCAAAACACTAAAAATATATTTGGATCTTTCCCATGTGAAAGTAAATGTGGCTGACTTTTCTGAGAATGGGATGGAGAAAAAGGCAATGACAAGATCAGTTACAGAGTTACCAGTGTCCTTTTGCCTGCGGTGTTTTCTGTACCAATACCATGTCTGGAACAGTTGATGCCAGAGGTGACACTACTTTTTTTTAGGCCTAGATAATCTACCATCAATCTCCATGAGCCTTTTACACAGACCACATACTGAGACTTTGTTAGCTTAAATACTCCAGTCTTGAGCATGTAGGATTCTTCTTTAGTCCACCAGATATCTTATACTGTTTAAAATTAGCAATCTAATGAGTTTGGGCTATTCTCACGATTCTCATTTAGTGTTTCCAATCACTGCTTCCCAAGGGCAGGCTTGTTGTTGAATACCAGTGAGTCGGTTCTGACTTACAGTGGTGTTGTATAGGATTTATGAGGAGAAGCTAGTGGGTTTGAACCAGCAACTGTGAGATTCAAATCAACCTTGAGGTGCAGAGCTTATCCTATAGACTTGCGCCTTTAATTTCAAGTAACAGGAGAGATCTGCTATTAGACATAATATTCCATAGCAATAATACATGCAGGTAAGGGAGATGCAACTGCTTCATATACGATCTGCTTAAATCTTCCAATTCTCATCCAAATTGTCACTTCAGTCCTATTAATCATTGCATTCTCTTATCTGCTGATACTGATCAGAGGCCTCTTCAAAATTTTATTTGAAAGTTGTGAGATTATTGCCCATTGAGTTCCTGTATTTCAGGAACCCTAAGAAGATCTCTTCCTCACCCCTGGCCATTCTACCCACACATGTACATA